AGCTGCTTCCCGCCCTTGGGCTGGCCGAGGAAGCCCGTGACGCTCGCCGCGTGGACCTCGAGCGCCGCGCGCCACTCGTCGTAGCCCGGCGGCTTCGACCCGAGATCGATCGTGATGGACGCGTTCTCCGAGTGGTACGTCGCCGCGCGCGCCCGGAGCGACCCGACCTTCTTGTCCTTGGGCGCCGTGGCCGCCCGCTTGCCCTGCTCCTTGATCGACCGCGCCTGCACGTAGGCCTTCGCGTCGTCCGCGGGGATCTGGACCCACGCGACGCCCGCCTCCGTCGTCGCCGCCCGGATCTTCGCCTCCGCCGTCGCGTTGGCATCGGAAAGCGCCGATGCGCGGTAGTACTCCGCGCCATGCTTCGGCGGTTTGGGTTTGGCCGTGGCTCGGCGTCCGTTCCCGGGCGGCGCCGCGGGGTCGTCCACGGGCGGCGCCGACGGATTATCAAAATAGCCGTGCTGCGTTTCGCCGGGCTTGAGCATGGGCTCGAAGGGTCCCAGGAAGCCCTCCGAGCGCTCGATGACCGTGTCGCGGACGATGGGCTGGTCGCCGCCCCACGAGAGGTTCATCTGCGTCGTCGAGAGCGCGTCCGGCTTCGAGTGGCCGTGCTGCGCGCTGTGGTCGAAGTAGAAGAGGGCCTGGCACGGCGTCGCGGCGCCCGAGAGCTTCCCGTAGACGAACTCGAACGCCTGGATGACGTCGTAGGTGTGCACGATGATGTGGACGCCCAGCCACCAGCCCTCCTTGTTCGCACCCGGGTTCATGTGCCACAAGCCGACGGCGCAGATGTCGACCGCGTTGTCCCAGTACCCCGCGGGCACGTTCTTCTTCAGCGGCGGCATGTCCTTGGTCGGCTGGGCCACGCCCTGCTGCTCCTGCACCTTGATCCAGGCCTGGCCGACGTCGACGCCGGACATCGTGACCGGGTACTGCTTGCCCGCGCGGTGCGCGTTGATGGCCGCGAGCGTCGCCTCGTCGAGCGGGAAGCCAAAGCCGATCTTCTGGGCGCGGGAGACGAAGCCGCTGACGTGGACCGCCAGCCCGCGCGACTTCTTGTCGATGGGCGCCGCGCCCTTGTGCGTCCAGCACTTGGACGTGTACTCGTGGCTGTGCCGGCACATCTCGTCCTGGCCGATCGCCACGAGCGGCGGCGCGTCGCTGGGCCGCCTGGCGCTCAGGGAGCCGCCCATGGGCATGGACTCGACGTAGGCCTCGAAGGCCGAGCTCGCGTTCACGTTGAACTCGACGGCGTCGACGGACGCGCCGTCGATCTCGACTTTGACGCGGTGCGGCTCCAGGTCCTGGCGCGCGTTGGGATTGGTTTTCTCGTGGGCGACGAAGAGCTTCTCCGCCTCCTCCAAGGACAGCTGGATCCACTTGTGCTGGAGCACCTCCATCTCCTTCTCGAGCGGCAAAAATCGTTTGTTCCGGTCGTCCGCCGCGCGTTCGTGGACGTCCGTCATGTACGACTTCTTGCGGTCGCGGTACTCGAGCTGGATCTTGTCCGAGTGGGCGATGGTGTAGACGCCGTGGCCCTTCTTGATGGGCCACGACAGGCCGTACCGCTTCCAGAAGAAGCCCCGCACGTCGCCGTCGACGTCGCCGTCGACGTACCAGTCCGGCTCGACGGTCGTGGCGCGCGTCGAGCGGATCGTCTTGCTCCCCGTGGGGGCGCCGCCGTCGAAGTTGTCCGTGATCTTCATCATCATGACCTCCGACATGAGCTCCGCGAGCTTCTCCAAGGACATCGTGCGCAGGTTCGCGCGGACGAGGAGGTTCAGCCGCAGCACGAGGTCGTCCTGGCTCAGGAAGCAGCTCGTCCACGAGTCGCGGAGGTAGCTGCCCCGCTCGTCGGCGAGGAAGTAGCCCTCGGAGGGCAGGTACTGGTTCCGGAAGTAGCCCATGACCGTCCTGGCGCCGACCTTGCCGTAGGCCTCGTCGGCCGCCTTCTGCGCGCACTCCATCGCCGTGAGCGACCCTGGCTCGCCGGTGTTGAAGTCGCGGAGGTAGCGCAGGAACCGCTCGACGCACTCCGCCTTGGTCCGCGTCCGGCGGAGCTCCGAGTCGGACATCTCGAGGCGCGAGTCCGGGTCCTCCGGGTCGTAGGCCAAGCTGAGCTTGTACGTCGTCTCGGCGGTCAGGTGGCCGCGGAGGCGGTCGATCATGGGCTGGTACCGCCTCGCGTTGCGCTCCGTGACCTCCTCGACGCGCGCCCGTCGGTTCTCCTCGTCTCTTCTCCGGTTGTCTTCCCGGCCGTCGTCGCCCCGGTGCCCGGACTGGTGGCGACGGCGGCGCGAGGCGCCGCCGACCGCGCCGATGAGCCGCATGGCGCCGCGCTTGAGCGCCGCGAGCGCGTCCATGGTGCGGTGGCCCAAGCTCGAGCGCTTCCTGCGCCGGGCCTCGGCCGCGGCGCCCGCGCCGCGCGGCCTGCGCAGCGTGACCTTCGGGGTCCAGTCCACGAGGTCGCCGCCGCAGCCCGTGAAGTCGTCCTCCGCGAGCTCCTCCTCCTCCTCGTCGTCGTCGCCGCCGTCGTCGCCCTCGGGCGCGGGCGCCGCGAGCGCGGGCACGTCCGGGTCGTCGTCGTCGCCGTCCTCGACGCCGCCGCCGTCGCCGTCGGGCGCGGGCGCCGCGAGCGCGGGCGCGTCCGGGACGTCGTCGTCGCCGCCGCCGCCGACCTCGACGTCC